TAAGTCTCATTGTATTATAGTTGGAAGAATCTTAAACATGATAAAACAATTCATTTGTTAAAAAAATTAAAAGTATATAGATTAAGGTAACCTCATTGTATCATAGTTGGAAGAATCTTAAACAATTCGTTTGTTAAAAGAATTAGAAGTATATAGATTAAGGTAATTTATTTGATATAAGAGTTAGCAACGATTTATTTATTGTTTTAACCTTTTTCGTATTATAAACAAACAATACTGCTGCGTGCCATTCATTTATTGCATACTAATACAATAAAAAATTTTTCGTTAATATTTCAAAATGTCTAATAATAACAATAATAGTTTTTCAGCATTACAAAATATTAGTAAACTATTTGAAAATTTTTTAAACTCTAATAAAGATGCTTCACCATTAAAATATATTAATAAACTTGTAAATGATTTGACAGAAATGTTAAATGAACCAGACTTGCATGATATAGAGATTAGGGTTGGAGAAGGTGAAGATATCAAAACTTTTAAAGCTCATTCTAACATTTTGAAAGCAAGGTCTTCATATTTCAAAACAGCTTTGTCAAATGATTGGAAAAAAAAATCAGATGATGGGATTATTTTGTTTGAAAAAGAAAATATTTCCCCAAAAGTATTTGAAGTTCTTTTATCGTAAGATTATTTTCTTTTTAATAATTTATTTATTAAATAATATATCTAAAATAATAGTCTTTTTTTAAAAAAGATACATGTACAATGGGATTGTCAATACAGATATATTGGATGCAAGTGAAATTTATGAACTTCTTAAAGCATGTGATGAATTAAATTTTAATGAATTAATTGATGATTTACAAAATTATTTGATTATTAAAAAAAAAAAATGGACTCAACAGAATCTAGCTCATCTTTATAAAAATTCATTATTGTATCAATCATTTAATCTACTTCAAGGTTATCTTGATGACAATCCACAATTATTTTTTATATCTGATGACATTGCATCTACTGAAAAATCAATGCTAATAAATATATTGAAGCGAGATGATTTGGAATTAAAAGAAATTAAGATTTGGAATTATGTAATTGAATGGGGGATAGGACAAAATGAAGAATTGGAAAAGGATATTTCAGAATGGAATGACAAAGATTTTAAAGAGTTAAAAATCATATTGGAAGATTTTATTCCATTAATAAGATTCAATGGAATCACTTCTACTGATTTTTATGAGATAATTATGCCATTTAAAAGTATCTTCAATAAAGAATTTTACAAGGAAATACTTGAATATCATCTAAGTAACAAATGGCAATCAAAATTTTTGCTTCAAAAAGATCCAAGAAGAGAAAAAGGGTTATTAAATACGGAAATGAGAAGCTCAATTTCTAGCTGGGTTGATGAAAAAAAAGGCACATATATTAAAAATTATTTAACTTATGATTTTGAATTAATTCTTCGTGGATCTCATGATGGGTACTCGAGGTCAATTTTCGAAAAGAAATGTTACAACATTGAACAGACTATTACTATTACTTTTTTCAAATATAATGGCACATTAAAAGCAGTATGGCAGTGATGGTCGTTAATATTCGCTGTGATCATATTACACATTCCACATAAATCTTTATTTTCCCTGAAATTTTTTTAATTTAATACCTCAATTTTTATTTTGTCAATAAATTAAACCTCCACTATGCTATGCTATATTAATTATGATTATAATTAATTTTTTGAATAAACCTAAAATCCAAAACTATAGATAGATGTAATGTTTAATTGTTTAATATATAAATAATTCACAATAATAAAATTATAATATATATCCTTAATTTTTCTTTACAAATCTATATACTTCCAATTCTTCTAACAAATGAGGCGTTTTAAATTTATTTTTAAGGTTCAAATCTTTTTTATAAACATTATGCATATAAAGACAATAAGGCCTATTAAATAGTAAAGAAAGAAATTCTAATGGAACTTTACAAGAAATCATGTAAATACATGGATCTATATAGGAATGGAATTATTGTAAAGTTGGCAGAGTATGCTATCGAAAAATATAGATCCATAGAAGAATTCCAGAGTATATTTTCAGGAATTAAATAATATAAAATTGATTTAATTTTTTATTTGATTTGATTATTATTCTTTCTTTTAATTATCTTACTATTATTTTTTAACTAATTTTAAATTATTATAAAAAATTATATAACTCATAAAAAAATGAACCATTAGAGTATCTGTTTTTCTAAGTGATCAATGATTTTTGCGTTTTGCATAAAAAAAATAATTACTTGGAAATATCTACATTTTAAAATTTCAGACTATTGATATTTATAGATGACGTGCACCATACCAAAAACAAAGAAAAAAAATATCTAGTTGCAAACTTTAAGAGAATAATAATAGGATTTTTAGATCATTTATCATGTATTTCTATTAAGGTTTAGCTTCCAGTATTTTTCATGAGAAAATTTGGTGGGAGGAGACATTTCACCACGAGAAGTAGTTTTTTTTTTTGAAATACGTTTTATCCTAATATTAATGACATCAATCCTTGTTTTGATGATGAAACATTTTTAATTTATAATCATTTTAGTATGCCAAATACACAAATTAAAATAGGTTTACAATCTGACACACGCGTAATCAAAAATCGAGTGTCGTAATTAAATTTTATTTTCTTTGCAACGCGAAAATAAGAAGAATTATGAATGGGTCAAGTAGAAAGAACATTCATCAATTGGACATTTGCATATCGTTTTCCGTAAATGGTTAAATCTAAATAAAAAAATTATTTATTGGATTTTATAGATTTTTAATTTTTTTTAAAAATTATTTATTAGATTTTATAGATTTTTTA